CAAATTTTACCAGCACTAGATGGCACTGCATAAACAGAACATATTTAGGCTGAAGTGGTATCATAGCTTAAGGGATGTGTGTTTTTCAAATACTTTGGAAGGCTACATAGCCTTTTTTTTTTTCTTTTAAGCCTGCCTTAGAGTGACTGACACTGTTTGTGCAGTGAAGCTCTCCTAAACATTTTTATTTAGGGTATGAAAATTACAGACAGAAAAGTATGAAAATGAGCAAAATAAGTCACATAGAATATTCATTTCTCCAACTTAATCATGACCTTTGAAAGCTGGATGCTATTCTGACTTGAGTTCTCTGCAAATGTGATAAAACAGATCTCTATCAGGAGCTAATTATTATGCAGACACATTTTGTAGAAGGTGCATGTACTTACAACTCTTGTTTATGTCCAGAAACTGCTCTGTAAGGGTAGCTTATTAGAAATCTAAAATGAGATCTCTCTCAGGATATCTTTCAAAGTAAAGGTATGTCCTTAGTGCATCTCTCTGTTAATTCCTTCCTTTCAATATTGTATTCCAGGGGCAGATTTTCTGTCGTTAAGAAGTGTGACCAGAAGGGAACCAAGCGAGCAGTAGCCACTAAGTTTGTGAATAAGAAGTTGATGAAGCGAGACCAGGTTACCCATGAACTTGGAGTCATGCAGAATCTCCAGCATCCCCAGCTCGTTGGCCTTCTCGATACCTTTGAGACCTCCACCAACTACATACTAGTGTTAGAAATGTGTGTGGACCATAATGTTATCTGCAAAATACAACCTGTGCAGCTGACTTGCCAGGGCTTTTATAGTGGTTTATGAATAAGGAACTTTAAGGTTTCACAGAAGTTTGAAGACACCTAAATAAAAGATTGCAGGTGTCTAATGCTGTTATTAAAATGTTGAGTTTAATAATATACTCAGAAGGAAATAAGTGGATATATTAAACTGATATGTAGGTGATTACCTTAGTCTGAAGGTCCAGAAATGATTTTATATAGAGCAATTATACAAGTGAATTAGGAATGTTGTGATCTGGTAGCTTGAAATCAAATCTCCTCTTCATACACTAGTCCTCTGTCTTCTAGGTGCTGCAGGCTATGGTTATTCCTGTAGTCCATGGCAGGACATACCTGGTTTTTCAAGTCTGGCTAAAATTACAGCATTTCTTCCTTTCCTTCTCTGCCTTCACCCTCTGCTCCCACTTCAGAATTGTAGGTGCAGGTCAGCTGTAACTGACATAGAACAGTTTCACAGATGATCAAGCCAAATGTCAGAAACGGTGATTACTTGATGCAGTTGTATTTTTTAAGGGACACTTGCCTTAAGCACTTTTTCATATAACTTTCAAAACTTATGTTTTCCTTTCAGTTCTGATATCTGAAATAAAACAAAATATAACCCTTGTAATTCCAATAGGGCTGACCAGGGTCGCCTTCTAGACTATGTCGTGCGATGGGGAAACCTCACAGAAGGGAAGATCAGACTCTACCTGGGAGAGATTCTGGAAGCTGTGCAGTATCTTCACAACTGCAGAATAGCACATTTGGACCTAAAGGTGAGGAGTAAATGGCAATCCTGCCAGTGTGTGCCACTCCAGGCCTAAAACCCTCCCTCTTCTAGGAAACTGGCAGATCAGAGCATAGAACTGTGAATTGCTTTGAGACTGTTTGAAGAAGGGTGTGGAGCAGGGCTCCATCCCCAAATGCTTTAGATAGCCAGCAAAGCAGAAATTTTGAATTCCCTGTGCTTTCTCCTTAAAGCTTGCTGGCCATGTGTATTCCTTTTCACTGGAAATAATTGCTGATAGGAACAGTTTTGTTTGATTATTTTTTATTTATGTATTTTCTGAGGAACTTGCAGCAGAAATCCATTTCTTTCTCAGGAAGCATAGAATTTGTTGTGAAAGAGACTGTTTTCCTCTGTTCCTGCAAATCTGTTTGTCATCATTGCACTTTGAGGGTTGTGGTATCTGTGTGAATGGTACCTATTGGTCCTCTATTCTACCCTGTGAATTTTACTTGAGCCACAAGGATTTGATGCATTCTGGTAGGAAAAGCTATATAAGAAGGTCTTAAGGTGAATATTAATTAAAAACTTATCCTTTATACTCTTATTTTCCACCTGTATTTGGATAATAAGGAATTTTAGCATTCAAAAGTCATCTTTGTAGGCAGGGTCTCTTTAGCCAAAAGGGGTCATGGTGAGAAAAAGCAAAAAGTGGTGGCATCTTCCCTCTACATACTTCTGTTTTCCAAGCAGAACCAGTCAGGTCTGCATATCATGGAGACCCAACATCTAAAGTTTTCTAGTGCTATATGGAGTTCACCAGTACTTTTTCCAGTCTTAAAAACTAGTTGTAGTAAGTCACTCTTATTTTGCTAAGATCACAGCCACAGCAGCAGTGGCTTCAGAAATAAAACCGTAAAAATAATTGCACTTTCAGCTCACCAATCATGGGGCAGTTCTCTTGAAGCCATGTGCATCCAACAGGGTCTGCCGCTGCCATAGTTTCATAACAGTGCTTGACTTCCATCTGTACAGCTGCGTTGCGTTAAAGAATCACCAAGTAAAGCTGAATTCTGTTGAAAGCATCATGAAAATTCTGACAAGGTCTTCCAGTCTTTAAATGCAAGGGTTTTGTTGCCTCTCTGTCATAAAGCAAATAGAGCAGTTGCTTTATTCACCCTGTATTTATAATTGCTGTTCTTTAAGCTTAAGTTCCCAAACACAGGTTCCTGTGAAACTTTGCAGAGCTGTTACTGTAAACATCTGCCGTATTACCTGGCAGAACTATATTTCCTGCAAAAATTATAGTGCCAGCAGCTGAAACACAATCATTGCGCACTGTAGTTGGCAAGAGACTGCCTGCTGGTTGGTCTGGGGGAAGCCTTGGTAGACCTGCCTAGGAGCTTTGCAGAGCTGGTCTTCAGCAGTAATCCTCATAGCTTGTAGCTGTTTGTTATGTTCTTGAGCTGACAGCACTGGCTGGCAAACAGTAATGCTGGAGCATTAAATGTGTGTTAGACTGACTTGAAAAGAGACATGTTAACTTTTGCTTTTATGTTTTCTAGCCTGAAAATATTTTGGTGGATCAGAGTTCCACTAAGCCAACAATAAAACTGGCTGACTTTGGAGACGCAGTCCAGCTCAATACCACGTATTATATCCACCAGTTACTTGGAAACCCAGAGTTTGCAGCTCCTGAAATTATTCTTGGAAATCCTGTTTCCCTCACTTCAGATGTTTGGAGCATTGGAGTGCTCACATATGTCCTTCTTAGTGGCGTCTCTCCTTTCCTGGATGAAAGCGTAGAGGAAACTTGCCTGAATATTTGCCGCTTAGACTTTAGTTTCCCAGATGACTACTTCAAAGGAGTTAGCCAGAAGGCCAAAGATTTTGTATGCTTCCTACTTCAGGATGACCCAGCTAAGCGTCCCTCGGCTGCACTGGCCCTCCAGGAGCAATGGCTGCAGCTGGGGAATAGCAGAAGTGCTGACAGCATTGACACATCCAGACTGACTTCGTTCATTGAGCGGCGAAAACACCAGAATGATGTTCGACCCATCCGTAGCATTAAAAACTTCTTACAGAGCAGGCTCTTGCCAAGAGTTTGACCTTGCTTGAAGTTCTCTCTCATTCTCTTTCACCTGCCAATCAGACTGGAGATGGACTCCTGCCAATCAATCAGACTCAAAATAGACTCCTCCTGCCAATCAGTCAGAATCGAGATAGAATCCTCCTGCCAATCAGCTGTTGACTTGAATTTTGAGGAAAGCAAACCCCGAGCCAACCAGCTGCTAATGAATGTTCGTGTGCAAACGCATTCCAGGGGGACCCGCATGGGGTGGCGCGGGGGACTGGCAATGCAGACTTCACTGGGGTGGAGGACGATAGCACTGTACTCTGCAAAAAGCAGTCACGAGCGATACAGTAACAGTATTTTATTCAGGTTTCTGCAAAAAAAAAAAAAATAGTTTTTTTAATAAACAAGAGTTGAATTTTGCAAGTGAACTTAACTACCGTTTTCAAGATTTATTCAAGGAAGAAATGCCTATGTTCAAAGCACTGGTGTTAAACAAAAGTGAAATCATGCCTGGAGAAGACTCACCAAAATGGCTGCCCATTGAGACGGCCTCCATTTATAACATCTGGTTTTCACTTGGTCCTAGAGCTTTCCAGTTGCCTCGCCTGTATGTATCTCACGTAGCAGTGCACTGAGATCAGACTCTGCTTTTAAGTGCATCCAACCTCAAAGTTTTTGCATACAAATAGAATGAATCGTTTTGCTCTGATAAAATGTAGGCCTTACTTGTATATAGACGGTTACCTGCCTTCGGTCTGTAATTTTTTTTTCCCCCCTCCCCTTGTCCTTTTTTTCCCCCCTCCTTCCTAAATGGTGGTATACCACTGTGCGGGTCTTCAGTTTGGGTCAGTACTCACTGTCCCCTTAGAAAAGGACTTCGGGTTGGTGCCCAGCTTGCTGACCCGATTGTCAAGCAGTATACAGCAGGATGAAATACTGTAAATGCACTCATTTGGGATTTTGTTTTCTTTCATATCATGTGCAATGTTGTGGCTTTAACATTTTATGCAACTATTTATGAGGACCTCTGTTGTAACTGTAATAAATATATAGAAAAAGCACATACTTAGTACGGCGAGCTTTATGGTTTTGTTTGTGTGTTTGGGGTTTCTGGGTGGGCAGGGGCAGGTGTGTTGTACCACACTGTCATTATTAGTTTAAGACGAGGGTTAGCATAGAATTTAGTCAAGACTAGTCAGTTCTAAGGTTTTTTCAACAAAAAAAAAAAAAAAAAAAAAAGATTTTAAACCCCAAA